ATTAAATTATATATTCTTAGACAATAGAAGAAAGATAATCGATGCTGTTTTTATAGCATGTTGATCAGTTTTCTTTCTTATTAAGAAATTCTTCTTATACTTAGTTCTGAAACTAATCAATAAACACCTTCAAAGTAATTCAGATCATTTGCACTGAAATCAGAAATGACTCTGAAAGAATCAGAGTTTATAGGTCTTTTTTTCGCCGAATTATAAGCATTGCATTAGATTTATAATTTGTTAAAAGTGATGTATCGAAAACTCAACGTAGAGAATTTTCATCTGAAATTTTTCCCTCAAACAAATCTTATGAGCCTCATAACGACTTAAATGTCACAATGTAAAGGAACGCTTCTTTCTACAGTGACTTTAAAAAAAAATCGATTCTCATAGCATATAGTACAATGCAGGTGTTTCTTGAAAACTCATTGTTCCAAGAAAAAACGCTTGCTTTGATTGTGACATTAAGGATGCTATAAAGATCATGAAGTCTCTGTATGGAAAGAATTCCAGGTCGAAAATTCTGTACTTCAAGTTTACGGTACATCTCTGGTTGTGAGTTATAAAGCTGATAAAATATTGATAACTGGCGGAAAGAAATATCTATGAACTCTGATCATTCTAGGCATTTCTAATCTCACTGAGTTCTAATTATGGAAAATATATCAACACAAAAAAATCTCAATCACTTAGGGTGATTCACTCGTAAGTAAATTTAACTGCAAAAAAAGATAATTGGTTTGATTAGAGTAATAATCCATTGGATAAAGAATTACAAAGATATATCCTTTTATATTCCTCTGTTAACATAGAAAACGACGGATGTTTTCTTCTAATGAATCAAGCTATTCATCGTGAAAAATTCATCTTTTTGACATACTCCTAAGAAAGAACGAAATTATATCGATACTCATGATTTATATGTATTAATTTTCACTAATTAAAAAGTAACAACAGTTTTTTTACTTCGAAGGGTAAAACTGTTTTCTTTTTCACTTAGCATTTAAAATTAATTATAAATACTTCGACTTTTTTCGTACGAATGAAGTTATACAATATCTTCTGTTTTAAAAATATGATTTGATCTTTATTATCTTAAATATTTTTCGTATGATATAACAACAAAGTTTATTCTATGATAATGAACTATATCGAATATTAAACATTCTTTTCCATTTCGTTTTTTTTTCAGATTTTTGATTGCAAAATTATTGTAATAATGTCACAGTTGAATGAAGCATCATCTATACACTCTAACAAAAGAAGTGTTTGTGATAAAATTTATTTGGGAAAGAAATGAAACAATTTCTTAGTGTTAAACTATTTCAGTCTCAATTCGCATAGATGTGCAAAGGTCAAATGATAACTATTGAAATAAAAATATGATATGTGTATTTTGAACAGTAGTAAACGATGAAAAGTATTCATTATACTGGTAGATGTGAATGTCTTCGACAAAGAAAATTGATGTGGATAATATTTCTTATTATAGTTGCTATTATCATCACATTAATCATTACGATTCCGATAACCATTATCATGAGAGAAAATTGACACGTAGCAATAATAGTACTAACAACAAGAATAGAAACATTAACTACTCAATCAACAATAGAGGGTTGAGCTTTATTGAAAGAAATATAGACTATTTTAACCAGAACGGGACATAATTACTTGTCTTTCGTTTGACATTGTTTTTTCATGAGAGTTGTTATTCTGAGTATGTCCTTTTCACAGAGACATGTGTACAAATGTTGACTCTTATACGTGTCTATTAATTTTAATTAATTAATTATTTAAAAAGTAATTAGCGAATATCTTTCTAAGCACAAAAAGAAAAAATCCGAAAACTTCAGGATATGCTCTACGACAAGGCCTACATCTAGGATGAGATTCTCAGTAGGATCGAACCTCAAAAAACTTTCTCTAAAAAATTAATTCAAATATTGACATACATAGAAATTATATAGTTTTAGTTTCGATGAATACAAGTACTATGTAATGTGTGTTCATATAAAGATGTCGAAAGTTCTAATGATATTCAAAATTTGAGTGATGAAGTCGAACCTTTAATTGAACATTTCAACAAGTGAAGACGATTTATCAATGATCTTGATGTTTCTTTTTTCTTTCTTCAAAAATATAGAAATATGTACATATATTGAAGTATGTTAATGCGTTTGAGAGCAAATAGAGAGTAGAATACTGCATGGGTACAACTTTTCGTATCCTTAACTGGTCAGATATGGGTATCTGATCTGTGGGTCCTATCCGTATCTGCTAGAGTTTGATGGTCACTGAAAAATTGATAACGAGAACCGAGATATAGCCAACTTTTAAAAACGTCTGAAACCGGTAACCGAAACCAGAACTGTGGGGAAAAGCACTTTGGAACGGTAGAAGGAACCGGAACCATCAAATTATCAGATAGATACAAAGATTCTTAGGCCTATGTCGAAATATCTCCACTTTTTCGTTCTTGAAATTCATGATTTCAGTGTATAATGTAAAATGTAGTGCTGCTTAAGTACCGAAATATGTGGCGGCTTAAATCTCAACAGTTTAATGGTGAAAATTCAACGAAATATTATTAACATTTTTGTATGAATCTGATGGTTCAACAGTTTCTATTCCACATGATATTTTGTGAATCGAATCAAGAATCATCTTTTCCTCATTTTCAGTAACTGTAATCAGAGTCGAAACAGCGCCTCCAGCTCTGGATAGCTTTTGGAACCGTCGAACTCTATTGTCAGCGCTCACAATATCCGCACTTGATTCTTTTCGTGGTAAACCCATAATCGTAATTCAGAATTTAAATTTACTATTTTATTTAGCTTGATTAAATAATAGTGAAATAATGAGACTTATATGATCATCACAAACAGTGACGAAAAAATACAAAAACATTTAGTGAATCAGAACTTAATAATTGCCGTCGAGTATCTATCGTTCACAGAGTTTCACTACAGATTCTTTCGCTAGTTGCTGAACTCGTTGGAAAAGATAATACACCCGCAGCCAAACGAGACGATTGTTTATAAGAAAAACCAAGTAGATTTGCCACCATTTCAACATGTTTCTGTCTTTTGGACAAAGGAATTTTTTTTTCGTGTAATCATTTATTTCATCAAACTGATTCGACTATTGATCATCTGATACGTCGTCATCTTTTCAACAAGTGATCTCAATGTGTCACTAATATTAATTCATCATTTCGAGATCTCTGATTTTTTTTTTCTCGAAAATCAAAATACTTCATGAGTACAACTTTTTGTGCCGTAAAACTCCTACTCCTACCAGAGAATGGGTACGACATCCGATCCGCGAATTGCAGTACTGTAGTCGATATACATCTATATCGTTACCTCATCAAGATAAACAAATTGTTAAGATAATCTATTAAACCTACAAAAGTCTAGTACAAAATTCTTTCTACAAATCTAAACTGGGAATTTTGAAGAAAAAAATTCCCTATATAAGTTTATCTTAAAGATAAATCTAAGTATATTATTGCATGGTATAAGCAAAGAATTTTTAAAAATGAACTTTTGAAAGGAAAAGAACAATTTTTTCGATAGAAAATGATTGACTTCTATTATAAAAACCGATTGAAAAACAAGACTGATAACATTAATAAATATGTTTATGAATCTAAATAAATATTATTCTTAATAAAGACATAAATTCAACTAGGTTTTGTTATACCCAGTCAGACAAAAATTTTGAAAAACGCGTTTAAACGCGCAATCGGGAACCGCGACTGTGATCCATTAACGCTCATTAAAGAGACGCACGAAAACGCGTTTATTGGCGTTTTTTATAACTTTGTGCGCGTTAAAACGGCGAAAACTTCAATAATTGAGCGTTAAAACGCACAATTATTGTAGAACTTAAAAACCATACGTTTTAACGCTCAAAAATTGGAGTTTTCACCGTTTTAACGCCCAGAAAGTTGCAAAAAACGCCAATAAACGCGTTTTCGTGCGTTTTTTTAATGAGCGTTAATGGATCACAGTCGCGGTTCCGATTGCGCGTTTAAACGCGTTTTTCAAAATTTTTGTCTGACTGGGAAGTGATATGATACTTAGAAATATTTTCTGATAAGATATTTTATTTGTTCCTATCAATTTAAGGTTTGTCTAGACTAAATTAGAATAGAATGATAAATTACTCAAATGGTAGGATGAAAAATCTCGAATAACCTATGACATTAATAAACTTTATTTATTAAGTAAAGAAAAAGCATAGGATCATTCAAATACACATTTCGATAACATTTTCCTCGATATAAGATTATAGATGTGGATATAAATATGAGTCTTCTTTCAACCTACTTCTATATCCTTATTCTTTTCTTTGTTTCTTCATTCATTTGCTCTAACCAATAGTGTAACATGGTAAAACATAATATGAATATTAACTGAATCGATAATAAGTTTCTTTATTCCTGTATGTATCTACAACAAGTGATATTTTTTTTTTACACTTTATCGAGCAGAAAACTTGATTGCTTTTATAAGCACACTTCTTAATGCTGTATTCATCGTTTACCTAAACAGCTGATGCTATTGATAGCCTTTGCAACATAGAATTTTGATGCAGTAATTATTGATATCTCATGTAGATTAGTCAATTGTACATGAAACGAGTCCATCAACACATTCTTTTTTCTATCATTCGCCAATAATTCCATGAACACGTACAAGTATATTGCTTTTATTCGAGTATCAGTCAACATTTGATGCATAATCTCTAACTCTCGTTCGTCATCGCCTCCAATGATTGTAAACTTATAACACAGATCATCCTTATGCTGGAAATCAGGTGTGTAATTGAATAAATTTATCCTAGTTTGACCAGGTGATTGTTATATTGACTTGGAAACATAAAATATCTTAGAATGGAGAATGATTAGAGTCTGCTGGACTCAACCTACATAATTATACAAATTAACTGTTAATATTGAAAAAATATTTTCTATTTATTTTTAGCCAACAATGTTTCCAACATCAGGTCCATTTTATATGTCTTATCCATCATCAAATTCAATGCTTGCTGCTCAACCGAATCCATATGCTAATGGAAATCTTATTCATCAACCGGAACATGTACAATTATTACAAAATGTACCTGTTGCCATTGAAACCGTTCATTTATATGTACCAAATACAGTTATTGGAGCAATTATTGGTACTAAAGGTCTTTTTATAAAAAGTATTATGAAAAGTTCAAATGCGACGGTTAAAGTAATAGATTTTTAATTAGTTTAATAAATAAATGTTCTTTCTCTAGATAAATCCTATTAATCAAGATGAAGATCAAAATAAAATCATTGAACGACAAGTAACAATAACAGGAACACCTGAAGCTCAATGGAAAAGTCAATATTATATTTATGATAAAATTCGACAAGAAGGTTGTATTTCTTTTCTCTTGATGTGCATATATATGTAAATAATAACAAAAAACAAACTTAAACAATTCATTTTCAGGTTATGTTGGTGATGATGAAGTTCGACTTCGAGCAGAAATATATGTACCGACATCATTAATAGGACGCTTAGTTGGCAAGGGTGGACATAATGTAAAAGAAAACTAATTTATCATTTTTAATTAAGAAAACTTAATATGTATAGGTTCGTCAATTACAGCAATCAACAGGTGCAATCATTAAATTACCTGAGGACTCACAACAAACATCAGCTAGTGAAGTACCTGTTAAAATCATTGGTCCTTTTCCAGCTAGTCAAGTAATGTTTATTTTTTAATTGTGTTTTCTTTTTAAGGATTTATTAAAATTCTAATATATTTAGTTTGCTCAACGACGTATACAATCCATTATTCAAATGAGTCGTGATTTAACTAATATATCAAAGGATGATAGTAATGATGATAATAATAATAATAATAATAATAATAGCAGTAGTGAACAATTAAATGGTATAAGTCAAAATAATCTCAATGAAACATCAACAATAGTGAATGGAAGTACAATAAGTGATGATGCTGTTGTTGCTTCGAGTACTTTACCGCATACGGATGATAGTGCAACAACAGTAGATGATCAAAAATCGAGAGAAGAATGAAGAAAACCAAAAAAAAAAAAAGATAATTCGAACAAATATAGTGCAATAGAAGAAGGGCATAATATACAATTTTTTAAAAAAGCATTTATGTGCACATGTATTTTGGCCAAAAACCTCGGTGATATCGATCACTCTTCTTCTGTTTTCTTGTTCGACTCGATGATGGCCGATGAGTTGATATATGTGTGTCTATGTTTCTCTTTTTTTGTTGGTCTTATTGTCTTGTGTGTTTGCTGTGTGCGTGCATTGGCTTTTTTTGTTTCTTATTTGGCGACATTGAGGCGTTTCTTTTTATACCGCTAATGGAAAACGCGATCTGAGAAAAAAAAAACACTATGAAAATAAAACAAAACCGAGATAATCATGTGTTTGTTTTCTTTTTAATAGTGAAATTTTATTAAACAACAACAAAATAATGAAAATCTTCGATCTATTAATGTGAAAGATGGATTCTCATAACCATAGTTATGACAGTTTCTTTTTGGTTTTGTAGAGACTTTGTTTGTCTTCAATAGAATCGAAACAAAGTTCATGTTCATAATAGTTAATTATATCTTGTTAGATGCATTGAGTAGAGCTCTGGTGATGATTTTAATATTCTTTCAGATTTATTCTGTTCGATGAGAAAGAGATACATGTTACATGTCTGACAGAGTTTCAATTCGTAGAAGTTTTTCTTTATTAGTTTGAATCGTTAGACGAGTGTATCGACATGAGGTCATTCTTTTGTCTTCTCATTCTATAACACTCAAATGAAACCCTCGACTAGTTATTACTTTCTCTTGGTCGCTATAGTAATCGCATAGAAGTTCTGCTATATAACTGTTGTGCCTTTCACTATTTATTTTCATAAGTTTTCGTTTTCTTGGCTTCTACTGGTGAATAGAAAACGTCATAGAACTTCAGATTCTATATAACAACTATTCAATGTGAGACACGACTTAGCATCATAGATGAATACTCACTCTTTAAAATATAAATTATCGTATGATATATGCTGTGTTACATAGAGATGCAAATTTTTCGTCTTATTAGAGATCTTCATTCCGAAATACTAGAATCTTTCGAACAATTTTGCAACATATTCGTCAAAGATTTGTATAGCATTAATTACAATAGAAAATCTATCGGAAAGATGATTTTCTCCGAAGAAATGAATGAAATATCGTTCAAATATTGTTTTCAAACACTATCGATTAAGAACTTATTGATGGTACAAGTAAAAGTTTGAGATTTCTGACTGAGCAAAACTGATCATAGGCTTTGCGCACTGTTTAAATGATTATCACATATGGACATTATTAATTATACTTCATCTGCTTACGAAGTGATATTTCCTATGTACATGATCTCGTATGTCTATGCGAAGTATATGCTATAATTAGTTGGTAGTACAAATAAATCTATGACAAATTATAATGCTCAATAATTATTTGGTTTTATTTCGATAACATGACTTGATATCAATGTGAGTTAATAAAAGAAAGTAAAATGTACCATAATGAATTGTTACTGAATAGGATAATTTAATGCAAATCTACTCATAGAAACAATCTTTGTTCTCTTAATTAACAAGTACATTTATAATTAATGATAATTTTTTTTTCTTCCTATAACTCATTTGAATAATTTGAATATGCTAAATTGGTTGCAATATTGTTTATTTTTCATATACTTGCAAAGATATGTGATTGAAATTTTTTCTTTGATCGAAATAAAAGATATTCTTTGCTTATTTTTGTATATTTTCGGGTGGCTAAAAGTAAAAATGTGTACAATATTGTGATAATGAAATAATAACATGAGGAAAATATTTCAGACATCGGAGGAATGTTAAATATACTAATATGATCGAAATGATTTCTCTCGTCTACTATTCGTACATACAATATTCAGCTTTAAATTATAGTAATTATATATTGCGATCAAGATTATCGCCAATGAATATCATATGGCTGTTAAGGATTGTTTTCCTTTCTCGTTATATGTTATTTTCTTCTTGTTCTCTTTTCTAAATGAATAATGATCTGGTTGTTTTTGTTTTTGTTGATGGTTGTGCAGCTTGGCCACTGTACAATCATTATGGTTATTTGAAGCAGCAAAATGACGAACATCTTCTTCCAATCGTTCAGCTAATTGCATTATTTTTTCTGTTGTTTCTAAATCAGGATCTTGTTCCTTAAGTAATGCTTGTCGAACTTTATTGCTTTTAGTTCCAATAACATACATATCACGAAGTGCACGATCTTGTGGTCTACGATGTAAAGCTGACATGGTAAAAGCACAATGACGAAGTTTTTCACATAACTCCGCTTTCCATTCAGCAAATGTTTGACCTGATTTTTGATAACAGGAATAAAAATCATATGTAGAAGTCATTATGCTTTTTGTTGCATCATAATGAACATCTAATAGTTTAATTACATCGGTGAATTTAGTATCATCATCAGTCAATGATCGTGGAGAAATCAATGACTCTAGTAAATTATAAGTTGGATCACCAACAGACCATAAAAACAAAGCTTTTTTATCTTCATCGATTTCAATACGATTTGCTTTGAAATAAAAGTTAATGCGATCACGATAAGATTGCCAAGTACTACTATGACAATCAAAAGCATGAAGTGTTGGAATTGAAGAAATTGTTGGTGATTGAAATGTGGATGTCGGCATTGACTTAGCCATATACAATTATATATCACGAATATAATATATAAATGAATTTGACGAATAAGAAGAGAAGAAATATCTTGTGTTGAATGAGATCAACAAATGAATTAAAGAAGGAAAACTCTCGTCGCCAATGTAGATTTGTTCTTGATATATGAACGAAGTTCTATATGTTTATTTCACGTTTTGAAATAAATGAAAAGAACAAATTACTAAAGCAATTCCTAACGATGGAATTGGATATAACAACAGATAACAACCTATCTATCTAGTATATATTTTATATATATATCATGGATATATAAAATATAAAAGCGCAATAAGAAATAATATTGCGTAATAGAAAATTACGCAATAAAAAATATTTAGGTCATTGTTAGTATCGTCAAATGACCTTGAAAGAACACACAACAAAAAAAAGATGAAAAAGACAAGCACTATGTCCAATCATGTAAAGAATGCATATAGAAGAGAAGAGAAAAGAGAACAAGAAGAAAATAACATATAACGAGAAAGGAAAACAATCCTTAACAATGGCAAGATAACTTTTGTCACTCTTGCCAATGCTGATTCGTAGTCTGCCGATACCATTTGTTCTCCTTTTTATGTTAGAATTCTGTTGATTGTTAGCTGTTGTCCTTGAAGCTCTCAGGCACTCCTAATGAAAAGTGAATGTGAGTGTACGTCTTAATCTTCTCTAAGTCCAGTTTCATACCTACACTGTCAGAAGCTTTTGAAACATTTGATAATGATAGCTTTTTTGTAAAAAGTGATTGATAAATTCAAAATGCAAAATCTAAATGTTTGATCTGTCTAATATAGAAATCATGAACTAGATTATACGATCTAATTAATTCGAAATATGGGCCAAGTATTAATACAATTAGTTGTTTCGTATCGTTGGAATACGCATGTGGAACAATTGAGTTTTCATTTTAAATTTTAATAGAGATAAAATATTGCATGCTGACTTTGCCTAGAAAAAAGTTTTAGCTGAAAGTATTTCTAGAATAGTTGATCTATAAAACCACATTCTATCAAACAAACTTACTTTCAATTGGATCATCTGACTTAAATCAACATCACATCTGACCATGTGAAGATGTAATTTATGAAAAGGTATTAGAAATAAATCATGACTCGAGATTATCACATTTGTCAATTGCATAGCGAAGTAAAGAGCTGGTAGAAATTCAGTATAACACATATTTAATTGATTATACTCTATTTTGACTAAAACCATCTGATGAATTTTTAATTTTACTTTTTGCTGCTCATATATTTTTCGTGTTATTGTCGAAAAAAAAGCATGTGAAATATACAGGGTGGACCAAAAGTAATGGGATACAGGCTTCTTTTCAACTTTTATTTTCTTTATGGATACATAATTCCATCTTATATTTGGATCACATATACTATATGGCAATAGTCAGAGAAAGAGTCTATTATTAGCCTTTGGTTGTAAGAATTTGTTGAAAACCATACAAATATTTTTCGTATACTCTTATATAACTGTCACGTAAGTTCGCTGTTTTTTAATTGAAGTCAATATCCTTTTTTCATTATATCTCGTTTTTAAATAGTTGGGTACGTAACAAGTCTGACATAACATCAAGATTAATAGAATTCAAATCATCATGTATCTTTTGATGCAAACAAACTAAAAGATAAAAACACAATACTACAAGAAATCTACAAAATTATGTGATAGTCATATAAGATTGCTTGCGAGATATTCGTATGTTTCTCGATACGTCCTTTTAGAGAAAAGCTGATAATAGGCTCTTTTTCTCATTATGGTCATCTAGTATATGTGATTCAAATATGAGATCGCATTATGAATCTATAAAGAAAAAAAAAAGTTGAAAAAAAAGTCCGTGTCTCTTTACTTTTGGTTCGCCCTGTACGTAAGGACTGATTTGATCGATACGAGAGACTTTATTTTGTAGTCTTCCATGACTAAAAGAAGATGTGAAATACATTCTTCAATTAACCCCGCATATCGTGAATTAGTGACATTTTCATGATGTTTACGATAAATATGTAAAGCTATGTGTGTGTATTCACTGGTATTCTATTCTTACAAATGAAAAATGAGACAAGAGTGAAGTAAATATCTGTTGACATACCTTTTCATTACCGTTCGTGTAAAATATAAAAGCAATTAGTCTGTGGCATAAAGAAAAAAAACTCACTCGTTAATAACCTAAAAGCACGCTATCATTCATTAATATGAAATGGGTACTGTCAAGAAAGTAATAGTTTTTTTCACATTATTTCTCTAAATTATTTTTGATCTCATACTGGTCATCTTATGGTTGAAGATTTTCAACATACTTATGTTGAACGATGTTGTGAATTTAAATTTCCTAGGAGTTCGAATTGAGCTTTTCGAATGAAAGAAAATTACTTCTAAATTTAAAATATTTCTTCTGTATTTTGTCAAAATGTTTATGTAAAAAAAGTCATGGATATTTATAAGTAGGAATTAAATTCCAGACAGTGAAATAATATATAGCGAATATGTTGATGTGCAGTTTATTTTATACGCAGAAAAAATCTAAGAAGATTCATTTTACATCTGTGCTCAAATGAACTCTAGCGTACGCATGCATTAAAAACTTATAAGATTGACATCTTGTTAAAAAAAAATAAGTAAAATTTTCAAACCATTCGATGATCTCTTTCATCATGTACGAAGATTCCATTCTCATCACTTCAATCTTCATAGTAGAGATGACAAGCAAAAAATTACGTAGAATTTTAAGTGTGATTGAGGGTGCTTCGTCTAAATCAAAAAGAAGATCTGCTACTATATAATACACAAGCTAAACAAAAGATGAAATAGCTGTGCCGATTCTCCTCAACAGTTCAATCTATGAAAGTGAAAAAGATTAGTCATTGTAGAGAGGTTACCGACTTTCAACTTGAACAGAGATCGGTTTCTTTAATTATATAGATTGCAGAATAGAACAATCGGCATCAAATAAAATAACTTACAAGTTAGTAATGATAAGTTTCAATTCCAGCAATTTCTTTAATATAATATTGAATATTATTTCTGTCAATCTACATTGATGTGTAACCTAGCTATTCGTTGTATTTCTTCACTATTTGTCTTTTCACTTATTTCAAGAAAATGATGTTTTGATCTCGATTACCTTGATTTGAGGTCGGATCAGGTTCAAAAAATATTTCCATAGTTTTGAGTCTAGTTTAACTAAAAAAATAATAAATTAATAGTATTGGAAATTAGTTTGATTGAATAAATGCCATCTTTCATATGCACTATATATCATCGACTTTATTTTAAATATTGAAAAAAACAATAATTCACCCAAGAATAGAAAATTTTTTATATGATATATATATTCGATGTCGTTTTCCCTACTCTTGGATTTTTCTTTGGATCAGATATAGCGTAATTACGAAAAGAAATCATAAGACTAATAGAATGTTTACAGACACAGGTCTTAAAATTTGTTTTATATATGCATGTGATGAATATTATAACGAGTCGAACCACATATAACCAAGATGCAAAGTAAATTCATTGAATGATGTCCATGATGATGATTGATATTCTTGTGATCAAATTAAAATGTTATTATGCTTGTTTTTTGTCGATGGTACCGTAGATGAAGATCTAAACGATTAAAATATTGAATTCTTTTCAAACTAATTTCCATTACTATTAATACATATGATTTTTTCTTGGTTGAGTCGGGTTCATAAAAATGTTCATCTCAATTCTTTTATCTAATTATTTTGTTCTCTCACTATACTTTACTCATATTTTTCCTCGTTTATATTCTGTTCAATAATTAATACATAATTTTGTTTTATAATAATTATGAACTGTAAAATTATAAAAATCCTAGCTCTATTTATATTACACTGGTCTTTATTATTCACGATCAAGCGGAAGACAGAACAAAAGTATATTTTAGATGATCAAGGTAAACTACAATTAACAAAACAAACATTATTATTCATTGTTTACTATCGTTAGATCAAAAATAAAAGATGACATAAGAAGAAGTGTATGAGAACAAGCAGTAAAATAACACAAGAATTTATGACTATAACAAAAAGAGAACACTAGAAAAAAAAGAGAAATAACTAACTCGGATACTTACATTTTTGATCCCGGAAATTAAGCACTATTGATCCCGGTTATTAATTTTCGTAAAAAGATGCACAAATGATCCTGTTTTTTTCTAATAATTTTTAATTAGTTATATAATAACTAAAATGATCCCGGAAAAAGCTATTTTTTTTCTCGAATAACATAATTGATCCCGGAATATTAGCAAGTTATAGCTCCGTCTTTCAATCTGAGGCTCATTGAACAGCTATATGGTCTTTTAGTAGTTAAATATACGCTTTTATCATCATGACTATCCGGATTTCTCTTTGGTTCATGGTAGCTAGAGGCAATGTGCAACTTTTGCTTATTAAGTGATTAATCCAATCAATCTATGAAAGAAAACAGTCAAGATTAAGGATAGATAAGATTTGTTTTCTGTAATCCAATAAGACCATGTCAATTTGAGCGGTTTATCCATCTCGTTATCTCAGACTATAAGGGCAACAGTCATTGTCTTCAACTGAAAACTATAAAAACGTTTGTAAGAGTAATAATTCTCATAGGGTGTGGGTGTGAGGTGCGGATGTGGGGGTCCGGTCTCGGTATCAGCCCTTCCTTCACCCACATCCACACCGCACACCCAGCCACATGCGCACCTACACCCATACCCCACCCCACACCCTCAAGAAAAACCATTTCAGTTATATATTACGTATAAAGATGATTTAAAATTCGGTGCATACACATGGTTACAACAAGTGGATAAAACACAAATATTACAGATGAATGCAAACGTTTATGTAGTATCATCCAAAAATGAAAACATGCGTACAACAACATGGATTCAATAATTTTATGCAATGGCCTGGAACAATTATGATGAATTAGTCAATTGGCTCAATTCAGCACGTTCAATAAGTTGTTC